CATGTGGCAGATGTGGCCGCCTATTGGCTATCTCCTCCGCTGCTTGGACCCGCAGCCCGCTGTGGAGAAGGTGGTTGCGGATGATGCTGCCCCTTCCTCGCGCCAGTCGGCTATCGTCCCGGTGATGGCGCAATAGATGGGGGCCAGTTGGCAAGACCTGGTGGCGCCCTTTGTACACGACGGGGGTTTCAGAAGGGTGCAGGGCAGGTGTTAGAAATAGCGACGAAAGTTCTATATGTGCTAGGTAGGGGAGACAAGGGGAGATTGACAATTGGACACGTGAACCAGGGGCATGAGTTGTACGAGTTTTTCACTGGTTCCATTCGGAAAACTAAACTGTACATTAGGTAGTACGGGACGCAGAGATGCGGTGGGTTTGAATACGGGTGCAGTGTGTAGCTAATGAGCGTCGCGTATAGGGGTGGGATTGGGTCTGCGTCGAAGAGCTTTCTTCTTCGCTATCCCATCGCATTTCTTTTGATATTAGACCAGCCTCTGTCAGTCGTTAGATTTCAATTCTAGGCGGCCTGCATAATTGAATATAATTGGGTAGACGTGTGTGTATTTAGGTCGTATAGAGACCGTATATGCGTGCATTGCGGAGGGCTTTTGCGCAGTGGTTAGCCTTGTACGGCGCGAAGGCAGGCTGACGGCGAGGGAATAGGAGGTGACACGATGGACACGGGGTAGTGAATGCAGTACATGGATGTTTGTGAAAAGAGTCGGTGCCGAAACGGGAGTGGATGGTCTAAGTACGCTGTGTGTGAAGAGAGCTCGGTGATGTAGCAAAGGACACAGGGTTTGTCAAAAGGGTGGACAAGCTATGATATCAAGGGCCATGAGACAGCGTGGGATCATTCTCTGTGGGGAGAGTTGGGGAGAAGGGAAGAAGGAGGCGTGTGTACTGAACAACGGTACACAATAAATGATTGAATATTCAAAATGGTAATCTTGACCATGCCTTATTACACTTCCGGGCGGGATCGGGAGCAAACAAAGCATCGCACACCTGCGCAGCCGCACAACGATTGAGTGGATGTACCAGGAACGGTGCAAGAGGCAGGTCATTTACCACAAAAAACTGGGGTTGGAGGGGGAGGGAGGAACAGAAAGGGCGCGAAAAGAAAGCACAGTGATGGAAATGGACTTAATGTATGGAATGCCTTGGGGAAGTATGCATTTGGGGAAGTATGCATTCGGCGGAGCAACTCGAGAAATTTTGAGCTCAGGCTCTAGTTGTAGGAATTCATCGAAACCGGGCATCTATCAGGGATTCATGTACTTCGCAAGGGGGCTGACAGGCAAACGTACTCCTAAGCAGACGGAGAAAGGGAAGGAGGAGGAGCGACGGGGCATATGCCTCCTGGAGGTTCTGTCTCAGGTTCTGTGAGGTTCTGTCTCAAATCGGGATGGCCTCTGCTTCAGGTTCAGTACGCGGTCTTGTCATCTTGAAATGTTTCCCAGCAGGGGGCTGGGGCATACCATGTTGCATATTTTATCTTTGATGTATCCGAGGGATGAATATAGACACTTTGATGAAAAAAAAGGAGCGCCCTTCCAAGCACTAGCGTGGTTTACGACAATTTATTTTCGCTGGAGGCATTCATGAAGATCAGCTTCTTGGCCAGCCAAGGCCGGAAGGATCGCGTGGCAAGGGACTCGTCAAGTCTATCCATCGTCATGGTTTTCGGACAGAGGCTTTCTGACGTTTTCAAGGGGCGACAAATCTCGTGGTCGCCTTTTCGTTTCAGCTTTTCAATTTTCTTCCCTTTGGATGCCTCATCTCCATCTGCTCCCCTCACTTATGTTTTCTTCTCATCACACCCTGCGCCTCGACTATCATCCTGTCTACGTCCCGCTCTCGCAAAGTCTCTGGCGCCTCGACTATCATCCTGTCTACGTCCCGCTCTCGCGAAGTCTCTGGCGTTCCCACGGCCGCCTCGGGGATTACCCCACGGCGCCTGCATGTACTAGTGATACACCGCTCCTCGGACGCCTCTTAGCCTTCGAATCCACCATTGATCGGCACCCTCCCTCCCTCGCTCCCTCCTCCGCTTCCAGACGGCGTGTAGATGTCGATAATTTTCAGAAGCGTGTTGATGAGAATGGTGAGAACGAGCAGCACGGTCAGAACGATGGGTCCGAGTCGATCCTCGTAAGGGCCTGGCATGCGGTTCCGAAGCATGGATGACCTGAGGGAAATGGAGGGGCCGCGTGAGTGTGAGGCAACCCTTTGGAGAGGAAACGAAGGAAGGTCAGTCCCCGCCCCGCCACCCTCACCTTTTCATGTACGTCCGCATCGCGTAGACACAGAAACAGATGGCCACCGGGAGGATGATAAAGCCGTACACTTGTGAGAACTCGTTGTGGTCCGCGAAGGCTAAGATGGCCACAGAGATCGAGGAAAGCGTCACCGACATGTTGAGCCAGGCCAAGAACGTCCTCTCGTTCGCAAAGAAGACCTGGCAGGGCCGAGACAGAGGTGAGGTCGCGCGGGCACCTCGCTCTTGTCCATGGAAGGGGATCGCAGGGCATCACCAGGGGGACGGAGGAGCCATTCATGCACGTACATTCACGCAAGCACCTACCTTGGGCTCCACTTTGACGGGCGCTTTACGGACTTTACGTGCGCCGGAAGCGGAGGGGCTTCCGAGTGAGTCATGGTCTCCGGAAAATCTTCCCTTTGAGAACGGCCACCAGTTTCCAAAAAGTGCTGTGGAAGGAAAGTAAGAGGCATTGGCATTCACTTGTCGTGGTTGGGGTGAAACAAGCATGAAATCACATCACACATGGATAAGTACTAAAGCGGCAAATCGGAAGATGAGAGATATACCGCACGTCGGACAATACGATATGCGTCAGGTTTCACCATCCTTCTATCATCCTTTCAACTTACAGTGTGCGTGTGGAGCTGGAGCGGACGTTGTGATCACGGGTCGGTCTCCGTTGCGATGAGCCTGTGCACGGGGTCTCGTATTAGTCGTAGTGCTCTTCCTCTCTTCCATCACCTTCACAGCTCAATCACTTACATCTGATCCGCTCCCAAGGTCCCCAGAATTGGGAATAGAGTATATTGGTCTTATTTCTGTTCCAGATCGCAATGGCTGTTTTTCCTCCTGAGTCCCATTTCTTGTTGGCATTTGCTTCAGCGCTCGAGAAGCTTTGCTTGTCGCGTTCGTGCTCTCTCCTCGACCGTGGAGGCAAAATCCAATGCTATAGCTACGAGCTACATGGTAAGTAGTGTATGGTAGAGATTATAACAAGTTTCCTGCATAAATCTGGCAAAGGTCTCCCCGGAGAGACCACAAAGAACAAATTCCGAGGCCATCGAAGATAGCGCGGAAACCCTAGCGGCCACAGAGACCTGAGATGTAGAGGAGGCGGACGGCGCAAAAAGGCAATCACATGCATCTCTGGCGCACAAAACGTTGGATAAGCCCCTTTCCTTTCCCAATCTATCAGGCATCCTATGTATGGTTTCCGCAAGCCACTGCTGTTCATTTTGAAGGACATCACCATCTCGGTCGACCTCGCGACGTCGCTGAGGGCAAGAGATGCGTGACAGTCGGAAGGGCAATGAAGAGCTTCACGAGCAGAGCGAGTCAATGAAATGGAAACACCAGCATGCTGCAGCCCTGGCAGCACTTGAGCAACCAACACAAGCGGCCGAAGATCTGTCGTTCCTGTACCGAAAGACATCCGTGGCACAAGCGCTGGCTGAAGGCTTGCAAGAGTTCTCAGAAACACAAGACCTGCCCGAAAATGTGGTAGCAGATACCATGGAGGCATTCGACAAGGTAATATATGCAATGAAGCACTCATTAGGTCACTAGAGAGGATGGTAAAGGAAACTATGCGTCAGAGTCGTACGATTTGAAGGGAAGGGACTGCTGATGTCACGCGGACGACCTACGCCTTGTCCGACAGATTGCCTCGAAAATTGTGGGTCACGCGTGGCTGAGAACGCTCCATTCATTTCGCACCACAGGCCATTCTCACAGCGATGGAGACAGTGCGGAATGTGGCAGGCAGGGCGAAGGGAGAGGTGAGAGGAGGGGCGGGACGGAGCGGATTGTGTCTGCGTTATGACTGCAATGACGACTAAGTGTGAAGTTTTCAGGTGCCAAAAGCTATGTGACGGAACAAGAATTGTCGTAGTTGTTCTTGTGGCGATATGGTCCCCCTTGACATCTGTGTTTCGGTAAATCAATTGCATACATTTTGGTGCAGGCGGAGCTGGATGCGTACAATAACATAAACGAGCGCTGGCGTTTCGTATTCCAGGACGGTGCCTCGCTGGCGACAGTATCGGACATGTCCTTGTACGCGGAGCAGGACGGGGATGTAGCAGGCTGCATTATAGGACCCTGTAGCGTGAGCGCGGTGGATGTGGCCAAGGTGGTGAAGGGGGGCAACGTGCGGCATGGCCCGGGCCGAGCTAAGGGATGAAAACAAGGAAAATGGAGGGAAGAAGCGCGTAAACAGCGTGACAGGATGGAGTATGTGAACAGACAGCATGTAAATGAAGTCTCCTTCGAGCGAAACGTTTCGCTTGCCCACCGCCAGGCGCAGCATCCGCAAAGCACAGTACGAATAGAGCCACTTCCTCGTCTCATATACAGAATGTTTTTTGTTTCTGAAAGGTTGTCGTTAGGTGCACAGACAAACCCACTCGCCTTTTTGCACAACGCCATTTTTGGGGGTATTAGAACAGCTCTATCTACATTACTTTTGTTCTGCCCTATCAGACACCCATTCCCCGATCCATTCCACCCCCAATCCCACCATCTATGCACGAAATTGGAAGGTGTTGCTCGAAAATCTCTCAAGAATTCTACAGTTGATCATCCCGGGACAGTCAAGCTCATACACACGCCAGAACCCCCCGCCCCCCTCACGTTCTCTCAGCCCCTCGACGTCTCTCTCCTCGCCATCCTCCACCTCGGTCCTTCCTACGTCCAACAACCGGAAGGTTGGATACACTCTGAGATGTCGAAACAGCTGACCAAGGCCAACGCTCTTCTCCCGCAGCAGATGTGCGCACTCCGGCGTCCTGGCGCTGAGGCTGCTCGTAGCCGTACAGAAGACGTGACCCATGACCGACAGGTCCACCTCCCGGTCGAATACCCCTGGCTCGATTTCCAGACAGCGTTTGATGCGGACTGTGACGGCCGAATTGTGGTAGGAGCTGATAATACGTTGCAAGTCGCCCTCCGCGGACAGTGCCACTCGCTCGAGCGGACTGAATGACTCCGGCAATCGAATTTCCACGTCCTTGGACCCCACGCGCTCTGATATCCCCGAACGAAAATTGCCGTACATTGCTGTTTCTTTCAGGGGCTCAAACGCGGTGCTTTGGCGCTCAAGTGCTGCGTCCCGTTTTGGCGAGCATGCGTCAGTGTCGTGACGAGTAGTCTGATCTTGCAAGTGGAGCCGCGACTTTCGTGGTGTGGGCCTCAGGGACAAGTGTACGTGTCGGCATATGGACATATCATCTACTTTGGCCTTATATAGCTGACTTATGGCACTGATTCCCCTTGCTATGTTATCCGTGGCTACATACGCCTGACAAAGGAGAACATGGAACGCCAAGGCCAACACAAAAATGTTCTTTCCAAGAAAAGGAGACATAGCCAAGCAACCTAATCCACGTATGACCGTAGATCTATACACTCCCTGTGAACGTGATGATGTAATTTTCATGAACTGTATATGTTTTAAGCGCGGACAAAATTGCTCATGCCGCGATTGGAAAGCGGTCGGCCCAGCCGGGTATGGTGGCCCGTCAACATCGGAGCGAGAAGCCAGGAGGTTACAGGTCTCGCATGCTAAGTTGCTTTTCGTGGAAACCGAGGTAATTTAAAGAGTTATTATGCTTTTGTCCGCTTCCTATAGCGTTTCTATATTTATTGTGCTGACCTTGCGTACTTTTGCACAAGGTCTTGCCGTAAGGCCTACTCAGTCTCTTGCGTCATCTCCTCCTGTGGCCGCTCCTGCTTTCCGCCCAACAGCGTGTAGGCAAAAATCAGCTTCGCGCGATCTCCCGTCCTCTTCCCATAAGGCCGTGTGAATCCCAAATGCTCAAGCTCGTCCACAGCGTGGAGGAACCTAGCCCACAGGGGTTTTAAATTCTGCCCCACAGAGGTCTCCGTCGTTCTCGCCCGCTTTTTCCCCACATGTTTGCCGTTCTCGCCCTCGTCGGCACCCTCCCCGCATTTTTCTTCTTCTAATTTCGCCTCCTCTCCTGGACCACATATCACATCCGCAAAAGATGCAAACCAAGCGCGCAAATTAATCGTCCGACCTTGATGAGCTTCGTACAAGCCGTAGACGAGAGAGATATCCGGCATGGTAGGGTCTAGCTGCCCCGGCCTACAGCAAGCGCACCTGAGGTAGCTCTGACTATCATTGAGCGCTCGCACAGCAGATGCCCTAGGCTGGGCGAAAAACGCCTCTTGGATTGCCTGCGTGTCCGTGTACCAGAAGGCGCCTTTGAAGTAGCTTGTGGCCTGGGCCAATGTCTGCGTGCAGTGCTCAATAACGTCAGCCAGGAGAGACTGAGTATCCACAGTGATTCCGTGTCGCTTAAGACGATACATGTGCCGACGCTCTTCGTCGTTCTCTTCCGTGGCTTCATCGCGGGCTGCGCCAACTTTTCTTCCACCCATGCCCCGTTCTGATCCAGTGCCGAGCTTTTGGCTCTTGCGCCTTCTTTGCTGCTGCTTCCCCTCCTTGGCTATTTCCTTTCCCAAGGCCTTGAGAAGCATCCAGAGCTCCCGGACTCGCACAATCCAGTCATTGATAGCTCTGGAGGAGCGACGCACGTAGAGAGGCATCTGCTCGAGTAGAGCCTGCAGGAGGTGTAACCTGTGTGATCGGAACAAGGGTGCTAGACGATGAGGTCTCCATGTTTCAAGGTTGTTATCAGCGGCGACCAGCTAAATGCCGCATGCTTCGGTGTTGGAGGCGTAGAAAGGAGCCGTTATCCCGATCTATCTCCCTCCTCACCCGCGCCCCTCCATGTACTCACCAGGCCAACACAAGATTTTTTAATCCTTCCAGGGTCAACGAGGCGAGCCCCTTCCAGAGTGATGCCTCCAGCTTCCTCCAGCGCTGCGGTCGCTCGTAATCCAGCAGGACTTCCAGCAGCATGAGCCTGGTCGGAAGGGAGGGGGCGGGCCTCTCCGCGTGGCGGCTGTGACGGGACGCGCCGTCGTTGCCAGCGTGGTCCGTACCGTAGGCACTAGCGTCGCTCTTTTGACCGGTCGGTGGGGCGCCACATATCTTGAGGGCCTCGTGGATGAGGTAGCACCCGAGGCGAAGCTCGAAGCGGCCGGCCACCTGTAGAACGAGAGAGAACGTGGGAGGGTTACAGAGGCCACAGCTGACGAGTAGGGAGAGGGGCTCCAAGCTCGACCCAGCTACTGACTGCGTTGACGCACCTGCTGATGCACGAGGCCACGCAGGCATTGGAACTGGCGGATCCGATCGCCGCCGCGTCCCTGCGAGGAGAGCGCGTATCCCTCCACCGCCTTCTCCCCCTGCTCCCTCTCAGAATGCTGCTCCTCGGCACCGGAGGCGGAGGGCGGAAGTCTTTTCGCCAGTAAGGCGCGCAAGGCCCGATTTCTCAGCAAGTTGTCCATGTGGTGCAGCACCATCAAGTGGTGGGAGTCGTGCATCCCACCCTCCTCCCGCGTTAAGACCAGGACTTGGCGCTGAAGGTCGATCTGAGCGTGTTCCTGACAGTGCTCATGCCCGTCAGAGTCGCCACTGCGAGGAACACTCGTCCCGTGAGCTTTGTTGAAGAAAGCTTGACTTCTTCCTCTCCCGCCTTTTCCTTCTCCTTCTCCCTCTTCGCCGTGGCTTTGCGGGACTGCCGGCGACGACCCATCCACTACGGAGGCGATGCTGGGCTCAGGTGGAACCGATTTGTCGTCTCCAAGAGGCCCTTCACTCTTTGATGCGCTCCCTATCTTCTCGCCTGACCAGAGAGCGGCAACCGGAGCGTCAACGAGGGGCGCTGCCACGTGGACTAAGTCCTTCTCCGCAACCAGGTCGTATGGCATCATACACAGGAGGGAGATGAGCTGGGAGAAGTGCATGCGCAGCATGAAATCCAAATGGCGTAGGAAGGTGATGATCGAGTAGTGCAGGTCGAAAAAGGTGACTCGGAAAAACCGGAGGACTTGGCCGGAGACGGTTACTGGGAGGCAGGCGTCCAGGAAAAGGCGCTCGAGGACCTGGCATTGAGGGGATGAGAATCCATGAACAAAGGTTATGTACAGGCATGCATAAGCATACTTGGACATATTTCCGACGTACCTGCTCGAAGCATACGTGGGAGGGGGGCAGGATGAAGGTGGCGGGCTCCAGGGTGGCGGTGGCGCCGTTCCCGAGGTTCTGGGCGAGGGCAAAAGCCGGGGAGACCAAAAATACCAAACGAGCGGGCAAGAAGGCTGAGGCCTCCGCCAACAGCCGAAGCAGGTCTTCCAAAAGTCTGTTGCTTAGGGCCTCTACATCCTCGAACAGGAGCAGCACGGAGGGGCAGACGACCGAAGCCGCCGACTCGCCGGTGGAGGGCACGAGGGACGACGCGTTTAACACGGCCAATCCGTCCACTAATGTGCGGTATGCCGACATGACTTCCCCAAGCGTGCCTTGAGGGGCCGTGGACGTCCTGAACCGCTGCCCTCCCTTCCGCGGCCCTCTCGCCAGGAGCGGCAACTTATCCACCGCATTCATGATCTTTGCATGCACCACCTGTAGAATGCTTGATAGCGTCGTATGCTTAGTGGAGCGGATGGTGCAGCCGAGAAGGGGACTGCGGATATGACCGCGAAGACATCGTCTCGTTTGATGTTCGCGATGCAGGGCCTGTAAGAGGAGACTGAGAAGCTCCGGTCTGTCCGTGGGATGCATGTTGGGGTAAATTACTGCGCAGGGCAAGAGCGCGGATGTGTCCCCGGGATGAGTATCTTGGAAGGGCGTTTCTTGTCCGATGTATGAAGATAAATCACAGGCGAGCTGCTTTGTGCGTGGGTTACCACCCGCCGAAGCGATGAATTTCTCGCGCACTCTCTGCCATACGGACCGGCGTTCACGACCTCCTTCTAGAAAACCCGCCACGTCCACCAAAATAGGCCCGTAAAGTGACATTGCGACCTCTCTATGTACATGGCGCGAGGCTGCCATGCATCGCATGATGCATTCCCGCTGTTCCTCGTTCAGATAGCCATATCCTCCTCTTGCTTGATGCTGAGCTGACTCTGCCACGGCCTCGTACCGCCGTTTTTTCCCCGAAACAACGTGCTGAGGCGGCGGCCGGTACGATTTGACCACGATATAGTCATCTTGCACGACCATAGCGCCTGTACAGGTGCACAATTTTCATAAGAGGGTTTCCAGCCTCGGTATGCGAAGGGCAATGGGAATGAAGGGAAGTTTGCTCCTACGCGACTTCACGAAGTTTAGGAATTCAAATTCGTCGTGGTGGCCGCATACACTTCACCACTTAGACAAGTTACAAGAAATAACTGCATCCATGACACTAATTTCATGCCAGCGGGAGAGTCGAGGAGTACACACCATGCCGGAGGACTGAGATGTGCATTGCATTAGAGCGCGGTCTGCTTTCCCTGTTCTGGCGAGGCCGGCGAGGGCTGTCTCGACCGTGACTTAAAGGAAAAAAGAACTCGACCAGAGAATGAAAGTCGATCGCGAGGGTCTCCGTACTTGCGCTCTAGACTTCTACTACAGTCGTCTTAATGAATACACGACTCTCACTCACAATTCCCCTCGCCCGTGGCTCGTTGCTGTGACGGTCCCGAGGGGAGGCCACTGAGGGCGATCGAGGGCAAGGAGGTGCACTTGGTAGTCGCTGTAGACAAGTCCAAACAACCCGTCACCATATATCTCCAGACACAGACATGAAGCTTGAGACGAGGTGCATCTAGTAAGGTCAAGGCGGGAAAGGATTGGGAGGCCGTGGTTTCTGGCATGCCCGTGGCTGGAAGCTCGCCAGATGAGGAGGGGGAGGTTGACACCCTGGAGCGTGAGGACCACGACGACATGTTCGTGTCAATGGTTGCGGAGTACGACCACGATGTGTCAATGCCTGCCTTAATGATAGAGGAAGATTTCAACTCGGCCATGGAGCACCAGTTCTTGCAGGCGCATCGAAAGTCCCTCGAGGCACGTAGCACCCTGACAGGAAGAGGGAGGAGAAGCGGGGAGGTTCAGTACGCTGACGCCAACAGCCATGATGCACTTTTATTGTTTGCTCTCTTTCGACCGAACCCATTGCGTTGGTAAGCCACGGACCCAAAAAAGGGAGAGCTGGAAAAAGAGTGGCGGCCCTTGTGAAAACTAAAGAACACGCTTTTTCTTTTTCCGGCGCAGGTGGTGCCTCGAGGCGGCCCGCGCCAATTTCTTCTTGGATGACGCAGGTCAGTTGCCGATATTGCTACACAATAGGGCATAATGTGTTAACCTACGCGGGCTAAGCGACACTAACCGAGTGCACCCTCATACTTACTCACCACGCCTTTTAGACTTGCGCCGCTTAAGCGCATCCCCCGAATCGAAGACACGACGCCCCGC